ATAGTATAAAGGGTGTTCTAGAAGTTCTGAAGTAATTTTAGAATGATGCATTTTAAAATTACTTCAGAACTTCTAGAACACCCTTTATATACTATTGCGATTAAAATAGTATATATATCGCAATATCTTTTTTTAATCTCGACAAAATCCGATAAAACTAATATCGTGACACATTCTGATAAACGTTTTACCGTGATAAACACCAGTTTTCTGATACTTCACTCCACTTTGCATTGTTTGATGAAAGTTTCATATGCTGTATATATCAATACATAATCAGCGCAAAGGAAATGTATCCTAGCAGCTAACAAACAGTACGGAATGGATTTTACTTTTATAAGAAACTTTTTTTGGCCAAATTCGAGTATAAATATATCTACAAGCAAGACGTATCTCTATTACACAGATCAACACTGGTCTTCCATGGTGTTAGATATGTTTGTTCGAACACAAATGTAAACGTGAATGATAGTGAGTGAAGAAAACATGTCACAAGTTTAAAAGTAGAATATATATCTTGTATTACGATAAATGATAAATCACCGATAGATACCAAAAAATTTACCAGATAAATTTTATTTGATTGAAAGTGTTATCAGCCATTTTGCACTGTTCCCTATTGCACTCGTTGTCATGTAAAATTTTAATTAAGAAATTTTCTAAGTTTTATCTTTTTCTGTCTTGTGACTTAATGAAAGTAGCTAACCTATAGAATTGGTATTAAGAGTTTAGTACTACATCCATAAGATTTCCCGATGAGCCGTCTGTTTCACCCAGAGATTTTAGAAACTCTCAAATAAGTACGTTAGGGTTGTAAAGCAGAAGAAGATTTTTTAGATAGGAATAAAAATAAGAAGAAAATACAAAATCTTCAAACACTGATTATTCGTCGTGATATATTGAGATAGATCTAGTTACTCAACTCTCTTTTTCGCAAAATATTCTTATAAAAATATATGGTATAGGTGTATACATATTTATGAACTGATGAAAATATTATGGTAAAAGCAAGAGTTGAACGGTAGATTTTTCATGAATTGAAGAAGTAACATTCTGTTGATCGTTTACGAACGTAATATTTTTGCAATTTCAATTATATTTCTCGCAAATTATGGTTGTGTATAAGACTGTTGTTGACTCATCTAAATACGAAAGAGTAAAAATAATGCTTATTGAAATCAAACTTGAATCTCTTTTCAGCAATGCATTTTCTTAAATTACAAGTGCAACATGGTGGTGACATACATGACGTAATATTAGCGACCAATTCGAATGATCCATGTGTCGAAGAATTACAACAACACTTACAAAATCAATTGAATATACCACAAGATCAACAACGAATTATGTTTAAAGGACAAAATTTACATGATAAACCAGAAGGAAAATTACGAAGATATGGTATTACAAATACGAGTTTAATTCGAGTTGTAGGACGTAAACAACCAATACGTCGTTCATAAATTCATTATAATTTTTTTTCAAATCACGCTACATATTACGAACATTCGCAATTGAAGCAAGACGGATTAACTAGTGTACAGAAATATTTTTTTGTTTTTTATTAAATAAAATTTGATCCTCGTAAATTTCAAACTATGAGAGAAAGAAAAATCTCATCCTATTATACAATTATAAGAGTCAGACCAGGACCATATGCTTCTACAGTCTAATCTGTCACACACTAGTTTATACTTATATTGAAAAGACAACCTGATAAATTATAACTTGTGAGTAAGTTAAAAGGTTTTTTTTGAATGACTCAAAAAAATTCTGTATCAAAATGTTTAATAGGAGCTTATCGATAAACCTGACATGTGTGAGAATGCGAGCACAGTTTTATAGATTTTTATTCGATATGATTCCCATTCGATAGCTTCTTCTAGAAAAAAAAAATACTGCTTGTTAACCATGCTATATGACAATCTTCTTACCTTGTTTTCTTTTAGCATTGAGGAGCTAAAATCAACGCAAACTAACGTAGATAGTCTCTCTTTGGAATTACTATTTAGAGCTAAAAGGAAACAATAGTCTTCTTAGTACCAACGTATCTATCATAGATAATCAGTTTGCAAAATAGCAAACAACGCTACAGTAATAACTTTGACAATAGGTTTTTGATAATATCGCCATGTTGAATTTGCATTTTCTTTCAAAAAAAAAGTAAGCCACATAATTTTTTTCTTCTTTTAACTTTGAATGAGTAAAGTAAATAGGATGTCATCAACTATATTCGGTACGAGCTATATCTCACACTGATACTTCTTTGTCACGTTAGAAAACAAGAAGAAAAATGGTCTCAAAATGACCTTCAACTGATGAAAAAAGTTTTTTCTTTCGATTCTTTTATAAACATTACTCATTCTTTGCTTGACATGCATTGATCACATGCAAAACGCTCACATATACTCATCTATCTTATGTCCATGGGTCGACCAAAAAAATAAAATAAAAATGAAATTTAATTTGACCTACATAAGAGATAAAATATAAGCAGACTGTAATATTCTCTTCATTAAAATTGTTATGCCATGATGACAAATGCAATGATAAGAGTATTTCGACTAAAGTATAAAAGTAAAATTGACATAGCTGAATTTGATCATTTCATCAACAATAATATACTGTACTGGTGAGATCTTAGAAAATATTCAAAAAACAAGAAATAATACATAACTTGTTTTTTTAGACGATAATGAAATTCATCTTAACAGCAATTGTAATTGCCTTATTGGCATTATATGCACATGCAGCTGGTCAACACTGGGCTGTCATTGTCGCCGGTTCGAATGGCTATTACAATTATCGTCATCAAGCTGATGTTTGTCATGCTTATCAAATTCTTCATAAACATGGAATTCCCGATGATAATATCGTTGTGATGATGTATGATGATATTGCCAACGATCCAAGGTTAATAGGAAATTACTTCTATATTGTGATAATTATCTTTAAATGAGTTTTATTTTGTTAATTACAGTAATCCGACCAAAGGTGTTATTATCAATCATCCAAATGGAAAAGATGTTTACAAAGGTGTTCCAAAGGATTACGTTGGAGAAGTAAGTGCTTAGTCGAAGCGGTAGGATTCTTAATTTAAATATACAAACTTTATTTTAGACAGTTACGCCAAAAAATTTTTTGAATGTTATTCTTGGTAATACTACAGCACTAAAAGGCATCGGAAGTGGAAAAGTAATTAATAGGTTCGTATGAAGAAACTAATAAATGAAGTGGAATAATTACATAGTCGGCATTTTCCTATGTCATGTTCTAATAACTGTGCGAAAACTTGCTTATTAGTCTTGCGAACTTAAGAACACATATATAACTTAATCTTTCCTGCAAATCAATACTTTCAAAAGTGACTTTTTGAAAGCTGGTTTAAAATTTTTAGAGGATTTCGATTCGGAGTTCTGATATAAACGAATATCAAATTCACAACTAGTATCACTAAAACATAAAAAATACCGTATTTCAGGATGAAAGCAAAAAGACTCTATCGCAAGACTTTCATATAGCTGGAAAAACCTGTAAAAGTGAAATAAAATTCAGGGACACTAACAACGAATGTATAGTAACCAAAAAGCAGATAGACGTCACTTCTTGCGCTTTGCTCTTGGATCTAGCAGATGGGGTGAAGATAAGCGAGAACGAAAATAATGTCAGTACCGTCGACATCCGTTCGTAGAATTGTGGGTATCATTTTCATTTTAGCGTACCTTGAGCAGCAGGTTGTTATTTTCAGTTTTCGGAAGAGGACGCCGAATATCGATAAATTCGATGAAGCGCAGAAGCATACGTGAATCGAGATGAACGAAAGGTAGTAAGCTATCAGTATCGGAAAGTGACAACATTTCCATTTTGAAAAGGCATACGTATTGCATTCATTTTGCATATGTTTTTGAAAATCTTTAAACAGATAGTTATATTAGAAATAGAAAAGAATTTTGTTTTAAACCGCCTCAACTTTTTCACGTTGATAAAAAAAACTATATGTAGTGCAGTCGGTGATATTCATTCAAAAGCCAAAAACTGATTCTCCAAATGAATTACAAAGAGTCTTGCAGCAGAAATGAACTTGTATTGAGTAATTTACTGTGTACGAAGCGAGTAGAAAAACATGCCCAAAGCAAGTATGAAGTTATAAATATGTTACTCTCAAGAAGTGTCAAACTTGTTCAGTCTTTTCAACTAGATTAAAATGAAACTGTTTTTATGGTGCTTTTTCTTCCGAGAGTTGGAAGACGTAAAATGTTCATCACGTAGTATGAAGTTTTATTTGTCTGCAGACGAAGGAGATAAACACTTTGGGTGAATCTTTTCTAGTTTGTTTGTGTGTAGTTAAATAAAAAGCACAATTTTTTTAGAAATTTCGCATGACACAATGATACAAAAAGATCAGTCTTTTTGTTTCGTTGATATATATTTACATAGTAGTACTCATATCTTTACATCATATATAGATTGGAACTATCATTTTTTCCTCTTTACAAGATTTTATATTGTCAAAAAGTTTGATTTTCTTATGGTGCATTAGCATAAATGATGATAATCTACTGGATGAAAGTTGTCCTTAATCATATGTACATCGATGAAACTAGGATGCTCCGATAGGGGGGTGTGCATATGTAACGAAACTAGTCGTTCAATATTCGGAAAGTATTGCTCTTAGAATTTTTGTACAAAAATTATAAATTCTTTAACAAAACTAGCTTCAGTTGTGATCATTTCTTTGACTTCTCCATGCCTTCAACTTCCAAGGTCTCGGAGCGCTTCTACATTTTATGTGCTTCGTCTGTTTCTCGTTGTTTTTAATGTCCCAATAGAGTTGCCAACTGATCTTATTCCGAAGAGGTAGTCTCCCTTTTTTGGTGGTTTGCTACTCGTTGTTTCCTGTCTTCCGAAGGACAACAAATGTCTACAGTTACCATGTTTTGAATAGGAGCTTTTTTTTATTTGGATTTTTTTTATTTGGAAATTAGGAGTTGATATCCTCGTGTGGTAGTGCCGTAGTAACCAAAAGATCTTACCGATATGAATAGAAGTTTTTATTTGAACATCATTTTTGTTTTTCTCTTTAGTGGCCCAGATGATAATGTCTTCATTTTTTTCACTGATCATGGTGCAGCAGGTTTGGTTGCTTTTCCATCCGATGTGGTACGTATTTCTATTCTAGAAAATTACATGAGTATTCAATTAAAATGAAATGTCTTCTTTGTGTTTATTTATAGCTCTATGCCAAAGATTTCAATACCGCAATCAAAAAAATGCATACAGAAAAGAAATATAAACAGGTGAATTAATTCATACTTCAGTACAGTGTGTGAATATGTCTAATTAATATTTGTGTATTTTTTAGATGGTTATCTACATTGAAGCCTGTGAGTCTGGATCAATGTTAGAAGATTTATTAGCCGACAACATTAATGTTTATGGAACAACTGCATCGAATGCTGAAGAATCATCGTATGCTTGTTATTATGATGAAAAACGTCAAACATATTTGGGTGATGTCTACTCGGTCGTATGGATGGAAGACAGTGATGCGGAAAAAATTGATGCCGAAACTCTATTTAAACAATTTCAAGTGACGAAAAAGAAAACAAATACAAGTCATGTTATGCAATACGGAGATCTGGTATGTTATAATATAGTCTTTTCAATATTCTAAATTTTCTATTGTTTAATTTTGTTTCTCAGAAACTCGGAAAAGCTCATATGGTTGCAGAATTTCAAGGTGAGGTAGAAGTATCAAAACCACCAAGAAATCCAACTGTTGATTATTACAATGACTTATTAAGAGTAAGTTTACTGTAAAACTAAAAGGAAAAGTATAATTTTTAACAATATTTTTTAGCGAGATGCTGTTCCAACCGAAGATGTTCGTCTTTCAGTAATTGCTCGACGTTTAGCAGCCAGTGAAGCAAATTCAGAAAATCAACGTCAGTTGCAAAAAGAACTTGAACAATTATTACAGGTGTGATCATTACCATAACTTCAAATTATTGTTTAATTGTTGTTGTTTTTTAACCGATGGATAGGATCGTAGTACAATTCAAGCACACATTAATGAAATCGCTGCTGTTTCGGTACAAATGAACAGAGCTAATCTCTATGAAACTGTTATTCAACAAAGAATGAAAATAACCAATCATGAATGTTATAAATCCGTCACACAACATGTACATAAAAAATGTTTTGATTTACAGGTATGTCTTCGTATATATTAGAAAATAGCTATTTGCATGCTTTTTTTTCTCTCTAAATTTTTCTTGAATTACATTTCACTTTTTTTTTCAGAATGAATTCGTTTTAAACAAATTATACATTATGGCCAATTTATGTGAAGTTGGTTTAAGAGATTTTACCATTAAAAATGCTGTCGATGTTGTTTGTACAAGTCGTTTAAATTTTGCATATTAAATTTCAATTCTCGAAGTCAAAAGAAAAATATAAAACTCACATCCATCCACTAACCATACGTCTTTCAAATGTTTATTTTCCTCTTTTTTTTTTAAACACAACCATCTGTTTTTATTTTATTTCTTTTTGTAACCTTTTTTGCTAATGTAAAACGGTCAATAAAAAAAAAAAGAGTTCAATTTTAAAAATAGACAAAAGTAAAGAAAACGAAGCAAACTAATTTATGATTTATTGAGTTTTAATCAAAACACAGTACAAAAAAAAAGAAGAAGAAAGAATTCTTTCTTCTTTTGTTATATAACCTCGAAAAAGATGCCATACGGTTGTTAAGAAGAATCAATTCTACGACACATTGTGTTTTTACCTTTTTTATAATGACGTATAAAAGTAAGTTTTATCTCAATTCATGTTTTATTTTTGAGTGTAAAATACAGAACAACTAACCTTATCTGAAGTGTGAAATACGAAAATAGATACTGACTAAATGTTTTAGATGAAAAAATATTATTATTTTTATCTAGATTTATAACCAGTTAGAGTGAGTATATTTTATTAGTTTATATAATAATTATCTTCACTCAGGTGTATTTAATAATAATATCTCATAGTCTAAACTGAATACGCACTTAATAAAAAATAGAAGATAAGGTAAAACAGATGCAATATAGCATATTTTTTCGTCTAGGTAGTAATGCAAAGTCATATTAAAACAGGTTAAATAATCTAGACATAATGAAATTTTTAATTTTAGTTGAATACATTTGTGAGCTCGAACGGAATGTTGGCTGACTGTTTAGTTACTTTTGAATATACGTAATATTTTCAATAGCTCAAGTGTTTTTTTAATAAAATAAAAATTCTACTTCTATTTTTAATCTCATTGTAGGTTCGGTGAACGGTACTCTTTTCAAGAAAGAGAAATTTGAACTTTTTGATATTTAGTATATAAATAAAAAATCTTGATTAATATAGCACGAGAAAATTTACTAGATCATAGGCCAAGTGGAGAATGTAGTTTTAATCAGAATTTACGCAGGATATTTAATAGAATTTAATTATTTCTATATTTTATTGTTTAGATACAATATTATGAAACTATGAGTGAAACGACAAAATTTCATTTTATTCGAAAGAATTATTTTTCAAGACTTGTTCAAGAACAACAACAGCAACAAATTATATCTTTATCATCGACTAATTCCACAGTGTCATCGCAGACAACACAAAAAATACGTCATGCACTCGAATATTTTGTTGAAGATATTAGACGAGATCGTGATATAACAATTGCTAAATTTTTAGATGAATTATTAGTCAATGATATTTTGATAAATTTAGCTAAAATGTTGTTATCAGATGATGAAAGGTAAGATATTATTTTATGAGAATAAAATTTAGAAAAATATATCATATACATTTGTAGAATCTGTGGAAATGTTGCATTCATTATTGGAAGTCTTGTTGAAACAGAATATGGTTTAAAACGTTTTATTGATGTATTTAATAATAATAAAATTGATGTGAATATTTTACAAATATTGTGTACAATGTTAAAAAAATCGGATCCAGAATGTGTATTGAATTCAGCTGGTTCACTGGGTACAATAGTAATTAGTAATTGTTTTATATATTATTCTTTTTACTTGACATAGGTATAATTTTTCACTCGATAGTGTGGATCAAAAGAAGGACGAGATTTTGCATTGTATCATCCAAGTTTAAAAGATATTGTATCTAATGCTGCTGATCTGTTAAATTCATCCAATACATGGATAGCGAGTAATTCAGCACTTGTACTAGCAAGGTAAATTTAACATATTCATTGACTAGATTAGATGATTATATATTTACATTTATTTTTAGGGCAAGTGTAGAAGAAATTGGATGTAAAACAATTTTAACTCATCAAAATAATCGTTTTATATCAAAACGATTGGTATCCGCATTAAAAACTGATGATCCAGGTAAATTACTTTTACCAATCACCCTTCTCGAAATTAAATCTACAATTTTTTTTAATTTTATTTAGGTCGTTCAACAAATGCGGCATTTGCCATAGCACGTTTGTGTGAAACGGATGATGGTCGAAGAACGATTGTGAATGCTGTTGGACAGGAAGAACTGGTATATTCTATACGATCTACTAGAAAATAGAATAATTAAATCTGTAATATTTTTCAGTTTAACAGGTTATCATCAATGCTAACCTCAACAGATGATACAGGTTTACATAAAAATGCCTGTTATGCTTTGAGTTGTATCTGTAATAGTAGTTTTGGTATACAATTATTAATTCAATCAAATGTGGATGATATAGTAGCGGCCCTTGAAGATATTGTTATGTCGGATGAAAGAGAAACAGCATGGTTTGCTATCATGTTCGTAATTATAAAACATCACATCAAAAAGCTGAAATAGTTAATTTCATTGATTTAGGTGTTTGAGAACTTTAGCTGATTTCGAAGATATTAGTAAACGATTACGAGCATCGAAAAAACTGAAAATCAAGCTAAAAGTAAGTTCTCTAACATTTATATAGGCACATTTTATCAATTTTCTATCTTTTTTAAAGCATTCAAAAGAAAAATGGTTAAAATATAACGATGTTCAAGATGAATTAAAGTTACTTTGGTATACGTTACATAAAAATATAAAGCCAACCCCTCCTTCAATTACTAGTAAGTATCTAAAAACAGAATGTTGAGAATGGGGATTAATTTTATGTGTATTGCATGTAGCTTGCAATGCAAACTATGTGGAAATATCATGGGAATTATCCACAGAAATTTGGGACTCAGACGTACAATTTCGTGTATTCTTAGACAATATTCCAATAAAAAATACTCCCAAAACAAATTGTTGTATCGCTGATTTGAAACCAAATTCAAATTACACAATTCAATTACAATACATTATGCCTTGGGGTGAAAGTGCACTGAGTGAACCAGTTAAATTTAAAACTGAAGATGAACTACCACCGCCTGTTAGTGATTTACGTGTTATTCGCACATCAATGACTGCCACAAGAATATCATGGCAACCACCTGTTGATTCCAGTAAATGTGGAATTATTAAAGGATATCATATTTATCTTGGTATATGAAATGTCTAACTTGTCCTGATGATGAACTATATAAAATTTGTCATTCTAGATGATAATGAAATTGATTACACTCACGACTGTTCTGTAACAGTTGGAAATCTATCTCCAAATATTACTTATCAAATATCAGTAGGTTGTTTTATCAATTTGTCTGTATTATAATTAATAATTTATTTCATCCAGGTGTGTTCAGCAACAAATAAAGGAAAAGGACCAAAGATAACTGTTAGTGTGACAACATCATCAGCAGGTGATACGAGCCCTGATCGCCCAATATTTCCAGTTGTCGGACGACGTGAAATAACAGTAAAATGGCAACCACCCGAAGTACTTGCCGGAAGATTTACACGTTATGAACTAATTTCGAATGGAAAAAGTGTCTATTCTGGTACAGAATTAGAATATCATTTAACAATGCTGAGGCCAGATACCGAATATACAATGGAGGTTAGTTTTTAACCACCATTTGGATTGAAATTAAGCTCTGTCTCATACAGGTCGTTGTGTATACAAATGAAGGCAAATTCCGAAGTAAACCGTCTAAAGCTCGTACACAAAAGGATGATTGTAAGTTTCTCAAAAATATATAGTAGATTAAGATTAATTGTCACCAAATTTAGATATTGGACGTCAATCACTTTATGAAACACCTACACAATCAACAAAAGTGAAAAAAATTGATCCATCAAGTCCACACGGTTCGCCACCAATCGAAAGAAGATTATCAAAAGATTGTACGGTTTCTTACGTTTGAAATACAGACATAATAAATTCGTTACATATTTTTTTATAGTTAAAGATATCCGTAATATTCAAAATGTTCAGATGACCACCGTTCGTTCGTTACAGCTCAAAGTAAAATGTAGAATAGCTAGATAGTCTTCTATTTAATTAATGATTTATTTTTTTAGTCTGATAATAATTTATCTTCAAATAATCGGATATTGCCAATATTAGCAGCAGTCAATTCAAGAAACAATAATAGTTCTTACTTGCGACGAGCACGTACAGATGTTATTTCATCGCATCGTTCTAAAACAAATTTTACCTACAATCCAAAAACAATACCACCACCTCGACCGTTTGATACCTCACATAGTGATCCAACTGACTATAAAATATCTGTTGTAACACCATGTTTCGAAATCAACGAACCAGCATTATTGCCTTTAGTTTCAAATGGTGGCGGTGGTCAAGTTATTGGTGATTATAATCGTCAGGTAACCTGGTCTTTACCGATAACGAATCGCATCGTCACTGTTCGACAAGAATCGACACCGCGCTCAACTATTAGACCCACACCAAGTGTTTCCGTACCAAATTCGGACGTTACAAGTAAGACTAATATCACATCACTGTACACTTTACTTATTCTACAGACTTTTTCTTCTCTCTTTAGCTACAGCAAATCTGAAACGAAAAACGTCGAGTTCATTACCGGATTTAAAAATAGGACAAAAAACAAGATCAGTAATACATTAAGAAGAAAACTTTGTTTTTTATTCTCGGTCTAGTCATTTTATTTGAATTTGTATGATAAAAAGTGAATTTGACCTTGGGTGATTTAAATTGATTCAATACAACAAATATAGATTTATTCTAGGCGTTTTTAATTGTTTTCAATAGATCTTGTAATTTTATTTCACATGTTCCTTGCAAGAATTTTCTATTTTCGTTTGTATAAGCTTCGTATTTATCTTAATTTGTTCAGTTGATGCTTCTACGTGTTCACCTACAAGTTTGTTTCTTTTCTAAAAAAAAGGATTGAAATAGAAACTGATTGACATCGTGAACGACCATTGTGATGCTATTGACAAAACGTATAAATAACATTAATTATTAACTGCTATCATCATCGCGAGTACAGTTATTAATTGAGCCACTAAACTAATATTAAGTTGATTGTTACAGATGGCTTTTGGTCAGTTTAAATGAATATGATGCTTCTTAAAAATTAAAACTATAAGGTACTGGGCATTTTCAACTTCATTTGTTGATAGAAGGTTTAAGAGAACAGTACTTATGACCATTCCCTATGCAAAATCTGTTGATGTGTCGGTGTTTGTCGTAGCCAAGTCTTTGTACACTAGCTCCATAGCATGACTAAGTGATTTGCAAATAGTTTCGTATAAGATCTATAGATATAAAACGTATGTTATTGATTACTCCGATAGAGAAGTGTTTTCTTTCGGCGAAGAAATACCTGAATCAACATAGTGGCTGTTGCTGTAATTATATAAGATACAGGTAGATATAAAGAAACTGTGAGATATGTATACATTAAACATTTATTTACTATATAACACAGTGGACATGACGATTTGGATGGATATTTAAAATGTATTGAATTGAAAACATAAAAAGTAAACTAGTTAATAATAGAATACTAAACTTTAACGTCGTTTTGATTTCTACTCTAGCGTCGATATAATCTACGTAGTTGTTGTTTAAATTTTTTTTCTCATTATAAGAAAAAAGAACTTGCCGTCGGATTCTCCGAGAAATTCTGCACTGGCACCCAATTTCTATCTAATTTGGTTCCAACGTGGGGTGAATACCAAATTTTTTGATGGGTTACGTAGACATTTTACATATTCTATTCAATATTAATCTATTTTTTATTAACAAATTTTAGTGTTACACCTCTAACATTATTAGAATTTTATTTTTCATGGTTGTCAGAATCAAATGTTTATTATATATTCTAATACCAAATCTTTGTTCAGTTAATATATCTTATTTGATTGTGTATACAACAACATGGGTGCGCGGCAGAATATGTTCTTCTAGTCATTTCTGTATTAGCTGTGTTTAAAAAACTTGTGCTACTGTGTACTCATGACTGTTTGTCAAATAAACCTAACCTAACCTAACCTAACAAACAGAGCATCATTTCAACCTATTTAAAAACAATGACCAACAAATCGAATTGAATTGAATTTATTTTACGCAACGGTAGGATATCACAAAAAAATCAGTAGGAAATGAATACCGTTTAGTATTCTGTTGTTAACTAGTTTACTTTTTATGTTTTCAATTCAATACATTTTAAATATCCATCCAAATCGTCATGTCCACCGTGTTATATAGTAAATAAATGTTTAATGTATACATATCTCACAGTTTCTTTATATCTACCTATATCTTATATAATTACAGCAACAGCCACTATGTTGATTCAGGTATTTCTTCGCCGAAAGAAAACACTTCTCTATCGGAGTAATCAATAACATACATTTTATATCTATAGATCTTATACTGATATATGTATAATTTTCGAATAAAAAGTACATTAAAACGCTTTTGATTAATTTTCGAAAAAGGCTGGCCATTACTGAAAGTTGTGGGCCAACTATTTCTGGCTACTTTGTATATTAATCGATCCATTTGCATATTGGCCAAGAAAATTTTGGCCAATTTACAAACAGGCAATAAAATCGGGTCAATTTATAAAGTATCTCGACGTATTTGTACGTTTTGGTTTCCTTAAAGTTCAGATTCGTGATCAGTCAAACAGCGAGGCAAGTCCCATTATATTGTCCTATAGGTCGCCGATTGAGACTACAAGCATAAGTAGCTTGCTAAAACTATTACGCGACTGACGTCGCTAAGGTTCGAATATCGTACCTGTGCGTTTGAGTGTATCTTTTTTTATGTGGATTAATAGAATATATTTAATAGAAAACAGAATCATACACAAAGTTTCAAGTTACTCGCTATACTAATCAATTGTTGTACTACAGATAAGAAACAACGAACTCGTTCAGCTTTTATTAAATTTCAATCAAGTAAACATATTTATTACGTGAAGTTTTTATTTTATATGATGGTTTAGTCCCGGTTCATTCCTAATTGCTCACTTTTGATTAAAGCATCGCTCGGTGCTGGTAGACGTCTCATGTTAACCACAGATGTTTACTCTATGAACTGGAGTCAATCGAACTCTTTTTGATTCCGATATTTCATTGAAATACCAGAATTTCAGAAAAATCTGGTTTCTAGGTCATTTAGAAGATTTAGAAGAAAAATCTATATTTGTGGTTTTATAAGATTAAACAATACGAAAGGCGGCATCAAAAGTGAGCAACAATTGATACAAAACTAGATAACGCACAAAAAAATTTGGAAAAGTTTGTAATGGATTCTTTGCATAATTACCACTTTTCTTCAAGTACCACTTGTCTTCAGTTATTACTCTTTTTCTCTTAGATTATCCAAAGCAGCCGAACTTCCAAGTGATGACAAATCACCAATACGAACATTTTCGTCAGCTTCGATTGAATGGAGACAATCAAACGAGAATGATATGGGCGTATTGTCCGTAAAGAATGCAGAACCATTGACTGGTAAGTGTTCGAAATGTTCATTAAATCTTCACTGAAAACTATTTTTTTTTTTTATTTATAGAAAATGTTGATATATCACACACTGAACCAATTGCTGTTCCAAGTAAACGACGACGTCGGCCACCAAAAAAGTCACAGAGTCTGTATAAGAGATTGTTTAGTAGTTGAAATATACTCTCCACGCTATATTTACATGATTCTAGACAGCGAATCAAAATGGAAAAATCAATCGTTAACAGATGATGCTTCAATTCAAGGAACATTTGGCGATGAGGACGAAAATAAAATCTTACCATTAGGGAATCATAACGGTGAATTTGAGTCTGATCCAGACACTTTATCCATGCAGGACGCGACAAATGAAGTCAGTGATGAGATAATTGAATCAGATCGAATAAAAGAAGAAGAGCAATTAAATTTAGTGTTCCCAGAAAAAGAATTATCCATATCAATATCAGAATGTAACATTTCCATTACAGAAAAAGTTGAAAACAATGACAAACAAGAAGAAGAGTGTGAGAATCACGTATTACAGAAAGAAGTGTCAGAAATCCAATTGAGTAATGGTGACTTAAACAGTATGGTTACGCCGATGCTAACAATTATAGCAAATGATAAAGAAGATTGTTTGCCTCAAACAATTAATCTTAATTGTATGTCAGTTAGTTTTTATTTGGATAGTGGCAGTGTCGCTGATAGTGATAATGATGCACAAATCTGCGAAGACACAACATTACGTTCTACTGAAATAAACTCAACGTCATTACATGAAATGTCTAAAACCGATAGAAAATCGGACGAATCGAATCAGATTGAGATACGAGAACAAGCCGATCTGAATGAATCTGATAAAAATTCTAGTCTGAAAAATTCTATTCCTGATCAATGTTCAGCTATTGATAATATCTTTATCAACTGATAATAACTGTTCA